CAAAGCCCCGACGCGCGCTGACATCATCACACCCGCCCTCCCTAAAGCGGGCGTGGACGCGCTGTGTGTGCGCGCGCGCGCGAAGGCCCGATCGAGGAATATCGATATTCATAAATAGGCCGAATAATGTTTTTCCGGTGACACTTTACTAAAAGGTTCCTTAGTTTATGTAGGCTATAACTAACATGGAATAACACTGAGCAATACATTTGTTACTGTATTTATTAATCTTTGTTAGTGTAAGTTAATATAAATAAGTAGCCAAGCTGCTGTTCATTGTTTGTTCACAGTGCATTTGCTAATGTTAACAAATACAACCTTTGATTTAAATAATGCAATAGTAAATGTTGAAATTAATATTAACTAAGATGCTGAAGAATATTGTTCATTATTAGTTCATGTTCACTAAGGTATCTTTTTTCTTCTAAATTATGCATCTAAAACATTGCATTTTTAAAACAAATATCCAAAATTATCCTATTCATTTAGATTTCAAGTACAATAGGCCTACATATTTTGAGAAAACAGCCTTTAAAAAAAATGAGTTTGTACCTCCACTTCAGTACCATACCAAATTTTAGTTATATTCCTATCTATATTATGAAGGTTTTTACTGAGGGATTTGTTTCTGAAATGATCCTACACAGATTTATACACAGAAACATGTTACTGTTTGTAAGGGGTTGATCTATATTGTGCATTAGTAGTAAATATCTATAGCAAAACCATTGTTTTTCAGGTCAATTACATGTCAGACTATTGGAAAGTACACTTTTAAGAGTTTATTTTATTTTATCTATTTGTGTCTATAAGATTGAGAAAATAGCCTTTAAAAATGTTTTTATTTTTTTTTCAAGCAAGAACTTTGAACTTGGCTTTATCCAAACTTGTCAATATATTAATATATTGTCTGTGCTTAATCAACTGGTAATGTGATGTCTATTTGTGAAACATGCTAAACTTACCAAGTTTTTAATCCATCATAAGGGGGAGCAATGCAAGTGACAACAAAATAATATTTACACTGCATTAATCTGCATTTATTTTGTCGTATACCAAAAATCCACAATCTACACAAGGGAATATACAAATCAGGTGTGTTTATTAAATAATAATAAAAAAAGAATACAAGTAACACTTTCACTGTCCATACCACATCTATTGATTGACAAACTCAATTATGAAAAAGCAGTACTACAAAACATGTCAAATAAAAAAATAACACGATAAAGGAACATGAGTTCATATTACAAGCACTTTGGATATGTACAAGCATTTTTGTCTAAAGGCAAAAAGGCGAAGAGCTGAAGACTGCTAAAAGAGAATAACGCATGTGCAAAAATACTTATCTTATCCACAAGCTCGGCTTCGTCATCTTCATCACGTCGAAATATCACAAAATGTGTTTTACTTTACACAGAAAGCCGAATCTGCGAGTTTGTGTAGTTGATAGATTACACTGACAGAAAGTACTTGATGAAGTGGACGAGTGCCATTCTGATTGGCTGTTGGGATAACTAGTCGACCAATCAGAATGCTGGAATTCACCTAATGTGTTCTGTCGGAATTTCACGTGACGAATCAACACGGGTACACACACAGAGGTACGACTCCAAACAACTGAACACACACATAAACACAGTCCATGTTTCCATTGACCAAAACTAGTAGCCGTTTAAAACTCTTTCTTTTAATTGTGAAACGAATCATTAATTCAGTACTTGACCGTCCCCGTCCCAGACTGTAAATACTGAGAATCAGTTTCCATACATACAAAATCACACACAAAAACATAATGTAACAGCTGACACACTTTGGCAGTGACACTTTTTTTTTGCCCCTTCGAGAAACATGTATCCATATAAAATCTGAACTAGTTTTTTTTCTCTCTCACGAAGCTTGATTGAAGGTTGCTGCGAGTTTTTGTGCATTTGCTCATCATGCAAGCTTACAACACAGACAGCAAGTGTAACATTACAGACGATTTGATTAGTTTGAAGTAAAATTGAGCGAGAGTTTTTTTCTCTTTATATACTCAACATCAACAGGGGGTCTTTTTTTTAGAAGGTTTCGAAGCTTTGGTGGAAAAGCTGACCCTCGAAATGAATCATTTATGAACTTTTCAGATCCAATAAGGAATGATCAAAGACTTGACAGCATTGTGCAAAAAACCCCCACAAAAAAACAACAACTAGACATTATCTGACTGAAATGTTACTGTAAATGTCTTCCTACAAGCCTTAGAGCTAGAATTTAGGTCACAGAGATATGAATAAAATAAAAATGCAAACTAAACAAGTATATAAAAACTGGTAAAACATTAAGAATTTATCTATTTGCTATTCTTAAAATGTGGATATTTGTTCAATAGCAGTATTTATAACCAGCGTTAACGGAAAACATGTGGTTTTCAAGGTTTATTCGACCTTCTAGGGCAGAAAAATTAGAGATGTATTTCATGTAGATAATAGTTCACACACACTTCAAACCCACTGCTAAAAGAGGCAGGAACAAACACACATCTAACTGACCCATCTTGACTTTAATACTTTGTTGTTCTTAATACTTTTAACCACAGGAAAAACTGACACTTTCATCCCAGACAACATAGTTTAGAAAGATCCAGGTCATATTTCACCTCAAAAACCAAAATTATGACTGCCAATGCGAACATTTGTATTAAAAATCACATTGTAACAAATGCTACCATGATGTATGCAAATAAAACCTAAATAATTTATACTTTTCCCCACATTACAGCCATGAATATTAGATCAATCATGTCTCAAAGCAACATTTACGTATTTCTTTCTTCCGATTTTGTGGTGAAATATGACTCTTTATGCGAGATTCGCCCTTTCAGTTTGAAAGCGAGTTAATGATAATATTAGGAGTTCAAAAGATTATGTAACAATCATTGTGTTTTGCTGTGACTGAAGGACGTATAGTTCACACCACAGACTAATCAAACCAGTGACCACTACTGTCCACAACACACACACACTGGTTTCACTCGAACTGTGGCACAACATCATTTCATAGATTTAGTAGATAGATAGTTTGTTTAGTTATTATTTTAAAACCACATTTCAGTGACGTTTTGCTAGTTGCATTACCTACGACTCACAAGAATATCTCACAAATCTTCTAGACAAAATAAAAGCACATGACTTTAGTAAAAGCTGCCGTTAGCAGTGATTTAACAAGCTCCAGCTAGAAATAAAGGGATAGTGTAGCTTAAAATGGACTGATCTGAGATCAGATCTGAACAGCAAAAACAAAAACAAAAAATAATAAAGAAAATTCTTTGTATTTTTGTCTTTTCCACGACAAACACAAACACACATAAATCAATATACATTTACTTGAGAAGCAAATTGATCAAAATTAAATGAGTTCACAGGTATGGACAGATATTTATCTTGTTTTAAGCATAAACTCACTTAATTTTGATCATTTTCATCAGGAAAACTAGAATTAATATTTTTTTTTCTTATGGAAAATCAAAAATTAAAAAGTTTTACAGATATTGTCCGATTTTTCATTTTTTAATTTTTATTGGAAAACAAGACTCAATATCTTAAATCCTTTTGCTTTGCAAGTAAATGTATCTTAGTTTAATGTTTAGATTTTTGTACTGAAAAAACAAAACAAAAAACAAATTAAAACAAAAATACTAAGTTACAAAATAATTTTTGCAGCGTGTAAAGGTAGTATTCATGAATCTTGTTTTAAGTGTGTGTTTCATAAAAGCAGCGGATTACTTTTTGTGCGTTGGACGAAGATATGAAGAAATGAAGGCGAGTTTAAGTGCATAGCGTTTGACAACTGATGAAGATCAAACCCTCAGTTCTCCCCAAACCAGTTTACAACTGGGAAATATGCACACAAGAGCCAGAAAAGCAATAAAACTACAATCCTCCCCAACTCTGCCAAACACACCAACGTTTCAACATCATAACCTGTGGCATTTCATGTCCGATATTACCGTTTCGATATTCTCTTACTCCTTCTGCTCCATAATGTTTACATTCTGATTGGCCAGAGATCTTTGGAGATGGTTTATGAAAAGAAATAAACCCTTAAGATGAGCTACATATTTAAGCTAAAAAGGTCACTTTCTGACACATAAAAGCATAATGTGTGTAAAAACCAATATAAAACTAAATGGAAAAGTTTATTCTAGGTAATAGAGATGTTAACTAAGATCTGATGTCAAGCTTCTGTACACCAAAGGGAACATAAACGCCGCTGCGTTAGCGCTAGCGGTTAGCAACTGGCACGCGTACACAGTGCACTATTGAACTAACATTAAAATAACGTTTTGTTAACTTTTGCCAGTGCATTATGGGTGATGTAGTATAAGACATGCAGGTTAAAGGTCAATAATGCAGTTCCAGATTTTCTCAACTGGTAGAAAAAAAAACGAATTTTTAAGAAACCTGTAGAAACTCATCAGTCGGCTGATGGGCACCTTGTAGCTCCGCCTTCAGCAACTGGGTGTGGAATAGGCGTTAAACTCATTAAACTTAAAGTTTTGCGCGTTTCGTAATATTCACTGGTGCTTTTTTCCACAACAAGCGAGACAAAAACGTGTTAAATAATCTTTGTTTACAAAAAACAACCACGGTAACCGTAGTTACAAACACAATTCCATCGTTGCTAAGCGACTAAGCACTGTTTGACAGAGCTCTCTTGTGTAACACGAACTGTACCTTTATCAGTGACTGCAGTCACCATGGTAGATTTTAGCGAGGGTTAAACTGGATTGATTGGTGGTTGAGGGAAGCCATTGATAAAAGAGATTGTGTTTAGCGGTTAAATAGTCAGGTTAATGGTCAACAGGTGGTGTATGCTTATTTTGTGCTTGGCCCCCATATGTGGCACTGGGACCTTTGATAAATAAAAGTGACTAGCGCTGATAAAAGTCTATCGTACCCGTCTTCAACTCCACCAACCCACCCACCCGATTGGCCAGCGTTCAGGGAGCGGGATGGGTTGAAGAGGCGGGATCAGTGAGGGGTCGGTCCTAGGAAGCTGGTTTGCTGTATCCGAACAATCCCACCGGGAGATACTTGACGTGAGTCGGCCACTGAGCGGCTAACTGGAAGAACTTCACGTCGCTCCACTCTCCTCCATCGATGGTGACTGGGGAAAGAGGAGCACAGCTGAAGGTTTAGTGTTCTGCGAGGGTGTTTTGCGAGTAAGGACGGTGCGGTACCTTTCAGGATGGTCTGCTGCTGTTTGGCGGAGCAGATGAGCCGGCTGATGCCCTCGATCACCTGACTCTTGCAGTCCATCTCCTTCTCTTTAGGTTTCTTCCCCAGGAAAATAGTGGGAACTGAAGAGCAAAGAACCGACAGTAAGACATTATAGGGAGTGACATTGATTTATTGATTTTTTTAATATATTATTTAACTTTAGAAGTTTGGGGTCAGTACGATTTTTTTGTTCCCCCGAAAGGAAATAATATTTTTATTCAGCCCATGTGATAAATTCAGCAAAAATGACATTTATAATATTACAAAAGATTTCTATTACAAATAAACGCTGTTCTTTTGAACAGTTTTCATAGGAATATGAAGCAGCACGACTGTTTTCAACATTGAGTAATGATGCTGGAAATACAGCTTTGATCACAGGAATAAATTACATATTAACATTAATTTTGAAAATTTTATTTCAAACTGTAATAATTTTACAATATTACTGTGTTTATACTGTATTTTTGATCAAATAAAAGGTGAGAATAGGATACATCTTTCAAAAACTGTACAGTAGTGTACATAGATACATTTTATTTAAAAAATGTATGTTAGCCAATAAATGAAAAACAAAAAAAAAATTATATAATTTATACACTCATACAAATTTATGTGCAATTATTTTCAAAGTTCATAGTTAATTTCTTTTTATAATTATTTACTAATTTGACCCCCCCTTGTAAATATTTTCTATTGTACAACAACTCTGGTCTTAAGTATGCTTTTATATATTAAGCCATAATGTATTTATACACAAATTTGAACTTCTCATGAAAACTTTCCGCCAAATTAAAAAAACATGCGCACACACACATGAATTTGTTCATAACCTCGTTCTAATGTTGATTAATGGATTCTTAATGAGTGACCGCGTGCCCAAGGTTAGTAATTTACATAAAACACACTCACACCATGTCCATATAAGGGCATTCGGCACACCCGGTAAACATGATGCTCTGAAGACGTGTAAAGAAGTGCAGTGAGATCCTCAAAACCAGTTCAGACGCAATAAACACCTTTAATACAGACATTACAGTCCTCTGATTGGCCAGCTGCACAAATTGTAATAGAGGTTATGCGCGTGACATCACTGTCGGCCGAAGTGGCAAAAAGACAGCGTGAATGACGCGAAAAACACACAACACACATCTAGAACAGGAAAGAGCTTTGTGATTGACAGTACAAGAAATCAGAGATATATTTTTACAGACTTCTGAAAGCTACAGAACAGACGCAAATGATCGCTGCGATTCATAGAAACAACTGGATCCAGGCAGCGAACGGTGGATTTGCAGTTATAAATTGATGTCAATATGCTGAATTTAGGGGTAAAATCATACCCTATATATTGTATTGGCAACTCATCAATTAAAAATGTACCATTCTGCATAAACGGACCTTTTAAATAAACACTGACAAAAAACTATACAAGTTTTAGGGCTGGGCGAAATGATGATCTTTATAACATTGACATAAGTAATCACATGGATTTAGACCTATATTGTATTTATATAAAGCATTCACAGGCAAATTTGCTTTATGTTTAAACTGATAATGGTTTGTTTTACCCGTGTTTTCCCCTATAGAGACCCTAAGCCCCTCCCCTTCCGGTCGACCACCATGGGACCTTATTTCGGAAAAATATTGTATGGTAGTCAATGGCGAGAAACAACTAATATTTTGATCTCGTTTGAATTGTGCCCTGAATTACACATATGATGTTTGTCAATTTAAAAGATACATTTTAAAGTCAAGAAAGTCGCAGTTTGATGTAAAACTGTTGAGGTATAAAGGCCTGTACACACCGGGACGAATATGGGCTTGCGTTATTCGTCAGCGTTTTTCAACGCGTTTTTTGTGTTCACACCCAAGCGATTTTCGCTGACGATGAGCCGAGTGAACACGCAAATTCATTCCCTGACATTAGATGGCGCTTAATGTAAAACAGAAATACCCCGGTCCACAAAGTGGCGCTGCGCAACTACGCTTCTGACACTCGCTTGTCACTCAGAAGAAGAGAGCAAGTTTGTCGCGTTTGTTATATGGTTCTTTATTGTCGTTGGTGTCTCTTTATAAAGACACCAACAAGACCAGCAGCTCTACTCATCTAGCCTTACATCTTCCTCGTCTTATTTCTTCCCGGCAGAGTGTAGACGCTGTATATCTTCTTCGCCATTACGTATGTGTGCTCGGCAAGACCGTTTTGTGTTTGAGCGCCCCCAAGTTGTGTTTTACTGTAACTTCAGAAGCTCCAGACACGTGAGCAAAAGCGCCAATCTCATTGGTCGGATAGTTTTTGACGCGGCGCGTCAAACCAAAAAAACGAACCCGAGGCTTTTTTAAAAAAATGACGCTTTTACGCGTGGCGTTTTACGCGTTGGTGTGAACACTCACATTGGCGCCCTTTGTTTAGTCACGAGGCGTTAAACGTCGGCGAATAACGCGCGCGAAATTCGTCCCGGTGTGAACAGGCCTTAAGACTGCGAAAATACGAAATTACAAAGACTACAAACCCCAAAGGCGCACATGTGACATTTACCTTTTCTCTCAATGAATGAAGCTAACTTTACTGAAGCTAACTTTACTGAAGCTAACTTTATTGAGGCTAACTTTACTGAAGCTAACTTTACTGAAGCTAACTTTACTGAAGCTAACTTTACTGAAGCTAACTTTACTGAGGCTAACTTTACTGAAGCCAACTTTACTGAAGCTAACTTTACTGAAGCCAACTTTACTGAGGCTAACTTTACTGACGCTATCTTTACTGACGCTAACTTTACTGACGCTAACTTTACTGACGCTAACTTTACTGAAGCCAACTTTACTGAAGCTAACTTTACTGAAGCTAACTTTACTGAGGCTAACTTTACTGACGCTATCTTTACTGACGCTATCTTTACTGACGCTAACTTTACTGACGCTATCTTTACTGACGCTATCTTTACTGACGCAATCTTTACTGACGCTAACTTTACTGACGCTAACTTTACTGAAGCTAACTTTACTGACGCTAACTTTACTGACGCTAACTTTACTGACGCTAACTTTACTGACGCTAACTTTACTGAATCTACTGACGCTAATTTTACTGACGCTAACTTTACTGAAGCTAACTTTACTGAAGCTAACTTTACTGACGCTAACTTTACTGACGCTAACTTTACTGACGCTAACTTTACTGACGCTAACTTTACTGGAGCTAACTTTACTGAAGCTAACTTTACTGAAGCTAACTTTACTGGAGCTAACTTTACTGACGCTAACTTTACTGAATTACTGAAGCTAACTTTACTGGAGCTAACTTTACTGAAGCTAACTTTACTGAAGCTAACTTTACTGACGCTAACTTTACTGACGCTAACTTTACTGACGCTAACTTTACTGACGCTAACTTTACTGACGCTAACTTTACTGAAGCTAACTTTACTGACGCTAACTTTACTGACGCTAACTTTACTGACGCTAACTTTACTGACGCTATCTTTACTGAAGCTAACTTTACTGAAGCTAACTTTACTGAAGCTAACTTTACTGACGCTAACTTTACTGACGTTAACTTTACTGACGCTAACTTTACTGACGCTAACTTTACTGTCGCTAACTTTACTGAAGCTAACGTCTGTCATTGTTTCTATAGTCTTACGTTATAATCGTAACGTTACGCCGTCACACCTGAGTGTTGTGTACCAGACTGCACACACACGAGCAGCGTATCTTGCTCGTTGCAAACATGATCTTCTGGATGCTACGAATGGTCACCGCTTCAGTTTACCTTTCTTGTTCTTCTCTTTGGTGACCACGGTCATGGCCATAGTGTTGACGGGCGCCTGAGGCTCGCTGGCGCCCCCTCCTGGCAGCCGGCTGACCTGCAGCGACCAGAAGGCACTCTTCAGTGTGTTCTTACAGCCGGTGTCCCTCCTCTCGCCCTCGCGACGCTTCTCCGACAGAGACGCCAGCCAGTAGTCCACCTGCAGGCCGATGGCGTCCACCCCGTGAGACATGCTGGGGCTCCTGACACACACAGCACAATTATCAAAGGGGTGGTATAATACAAGACGTAAAATATGTCTGTCCCCAGAGTGTGTGTGTGTGAAGTTTTAGCTCAAAATACCCCACAGATAATTTTTCATAGCATGTTAAAACTGTCACTATTTGAGGTTGAGCAAAAACACGTCGTTTCATGTGTGTCCCTTTAAATGCAAATGAGCGGCTGCTCCTCACACAGGGGGCGGAGCTACAACAGCCCGTGTGTTTCTTCGATTACCTCACACACACACACACAGAAATGTCAGAAACTGGCAATGAAGTCAGACAATGATGGAGAGACTCAAATGTGCTCTCCTACAACAGCTCTTCCTCTTCTCAACACTTGCGTGTTCCCTGGGGCGGGGTTTATGTAAATTTTAGGGTTAGTGATGTCACAAACCCGGGATGAAGCTCGTGTAGTCCCTATCAGCCGTTTGTTGTAGTCCTTAAAAAGCAATTTCTAAAAGCAAATATCTCCCTTTGCTTTGAACTTTGAGCGTCGTAACTCTGCGATGCTGTTTGCGAATGTTCGTTGGAACGATGTTTTCGGGAAACGCACCCCTGATTGTTAAATTGTCTATTACATTGCTAGGTTACACTTTACAACAAGGCAACTAACATTAGCAATACATTTACATTAACATTATAACACCAAGAAATGTTGGCTTTACAGGTCTGAGCTGGTTTTAAAGGTGGATTCGTCCAGGTGT